CCATTGGCGAGTGCCAGTATTCATATCAACATTCTCAGACAGCACATTTGCTGCCCACGGCTGAGACTGTGATCCGACTCTTGGTTCCTCTGTCCCCTCCGTTAACTTCTTTCTACCTTGGCCCTTCGGAATATACATTCCAACCTCCCTCCAATGACAGGGCACTCTTCAGCCTACCAAAAGAAAACGTTGTTGGATCTTTAGAATTCTAGCTTTTACATTCAGTAACATGAAATTTACCTCTCTCATTAACGCTCGTGTCTCCGACAGTAGCCTCTGGCTACTCAGGGTAAATAAATTTGGAACTCTGCCCAGGCCAAGTTCTTGCACAATCACCAGCAAACTAGTTGTCAGCGACTCCATAAAACCAGGCGTCATGTACGTGCCCCTCCCGCTGGGACTCCGTTAATCTTCATTGCCCTAGGAGGCACAGACCACTGTAATCCCGTTACACCGTTGAAAAAAAACTGAGATTTATAGAGCGTGACTTTTCCATAATTATGCATCAGTTTGAGGCAACAGCAAGACCTGCATCAAGGTTGGCTGGTTTGAACAGCGTCAGAAACAACCACACATCTGGAAACCCATTGTTCCTCAAATATTGACGAGATACAGGGTCATTGGTTCAATAGGCCACGGAGGAGATTTAAAACTGTCAAAAAAAATTTAGATAAAATAAAATGAACAAGTCTCTCTCTGGGAGCTGGAGAGATGGTCCAGTGGTTAGGAGCACATACTGCTCTTGCAGAGGACCCAGAATGGATTCCCAGAGCCCTTGTTCAGTGGTTCAACTGCCTATAACTGCAGCTCCAGGGTATCTGCTCACCACGCCTGGCCTTGTAGGGCACTGCACTCTCATGCACATAAACAGACATATAATTAATTCTAAAAAAAATCTCCACCCTCATGAAGCTTACATGGGGGGAGGGGAGGAGAAAGATAGGTGAGGGAAATTAACAGTGGGGGACCAGGGTTGCCGCAGTTCTAAACAGACCCCTGCAATTTGATGGATTTTGTATTTGTCACCATCTTCAGAACGTGGACTCCCCTAGGGAAGCATTGTCCCTCAGGGCCGGGTTATCTGGCGGGCTCAATAAGTAATGAATGAGTGGGTAACTGATAAATGGTTCTAGACACGGCCCTTGCTTTCATGAAGGCTTCACGGAACTTCCGTTCCAGCAGGGGGTGGTGCAGCAAATATAAATAGATGGAGCTGCAGTCTGAGACAAGCACCCTCAAGGAAATGAAGCTCGGCAACAAGAAACGCAGGGAAGGGGGTCCTGCTTTAGATGACACGTTCCAAGAGGCCTTGCTGAGGAAGGGGCATGATGCCGCGTGATCTGAGGCCTGAAGTATGAGAGACCAGCCTCAAGCAGATCAATGGGAAGGAACACTTCAGCCAGAGAAGCTAGCCTGTGCAAAGATAGGCTGACAGGCTGACGGGTCTAAGGAACTTAGGGAGGCTGGAACGGAACAGTGGAGAGGAGACCCAGGTGCAGCCGAAGAAGATGCCAGGGTCTGCAGACCATACAGAAAGCTGAGTAAGGAAGACGGTTCAGGTTAAACCCTAGGAAAGTGATACACGCCGCTGATGCGGTAAGGGGATGAGGCTTGAGTTCTGATTTCTTATGATTTTTATTTCCCCAACAACTAGAGATGGGGACATTGACAGCATGTATTTAAGTACACATCCTGCCTTATGTGTATGTGAACCCTTCCTGTTCCCTGCATCTTTCCCCAGGTGGTTCACACTGAGACTCTGCCCTGAGGCTAGAAAGGGAAGAACTGAGTGTTCCTGGGCTCCTTAGCTCCTCTCTTGTAACTGCTGCTGACTCCAAGCTGAGACAGGGAAGGGGGCAAAGAAACAAAGCTGGCGAGGACCAGAGCATTAAACTGAGCGTCCCAAGGAGGGAAAGTGAGGGTAAGATAGAAATACATTTAGAAATACATGCTGAAACAGAAGATTATCCGGCAACCAGGTTGCAGAACTAGAACTGATTTTTTTTTTTGTAATCTGAAAAGTGTGTAAACTGAGACCCAGAAAGCCCAAGGTCACACAGTCAGTCCATGAAGTTATCAGGACTTGAACCCAAATTTGATAGAATCCACATTCCCTTGCTCCTTGGTCAAGGGACCGCATTGGGAACTATGGTAATCAGAGAGTGCCAGGGTAGCAACAGGTGGACAGATGAAGAGACCATGCCCCTTTGCTTTTAAAAAGGGGTTACAAATTTCAAAAATCCTTGAGAGATGAAGAAAGGCCCTGACTTGGAGCGACTGCCCCAAATCTAAGGAGAAGGCTAGGGTGCCAAAGTCCACGCCAGGTCAAGAAGAAATTCAATTACCTACAACTCATGGAATATTTATGATGCCTATCCTGCGCCAGGCCGATACTGAGTGCCAGTGTGGTGGAGATGAGCTAAACAAGGCCCCAGACTTAGCTGGACGGGGAAGTGGGCATATAAATAACTATGAGATCGTATCCTAAAGGCCATAACGTTAACCCAGAGAAAATACAAAGGCATTGGGCTTGACAAATAAAACAGTATCTGAACCTGGAATTCCCCTGGCAGTTTAGACAGAAAAATTCATTTAAGGAAGTAGCAACTCGAATAAAAACATAAAACAAGGGGACTGAAGAGATGGCTCAGAGGTTAAGAGCCCTGGCTGCTCTCCAGAGGTCCTGAGTTCAATGCCCAGCAAGCACATGGTAGCTCACAACCATCTGTAATGAGATCTGGTGTCGTCTTCCAGCCTGCAGGCAGAACACTGTATACATAGTAAATAAATAAATAAATCTTAAAAAAGAAAACATAAAACAAGGAAGAGCTAGCCAAAGGGGGGTGGGTCAGGTGTAGTTGGGTCACAGGCTATGTATAATATAAGAGAAGAAGATAATAAAGTAGCAAAGACGGGGTGGGCACAAAGTACATATTGTCTTGAATACAAAGTTAAGACTTTCTTTTTTAATTTTTTAATTTATTATGAATATAATATTCTGTCTGTGTGTATGTCTGTAGGCCAGAAGAGGGCACCAGACCTCATTACAGATGATTGTGAACCACCATGAGGTTGCTGGGAATTGAACTCAGGACCTTTGGAAGAGCAGGCAATGTTCTTAACCACTGAGCCATCTCTCTAGCTCCCTAAAGTTAAGACTTTCATCAGTGGTTCTCGGACTGTGGCCTGGATGAACCCAGATGGCCTAGAGCAAAAGTGAAGGTTTATAGGAATGTCCGGGGAGATGAAGTTCAGCCTCAAGGAGGAAGGCTTGCTTCTGATTCTCCAGCTAGTTGGCTGCCCAGGGATTGGGGTGGGGTTGGGGGAGTAATAAAAATATCTCAATGTCACCTAGAGGGTTCTGTTGCAGAGGGACCTTATGAACTTCTTTCTTAGACTCTTTTAAACTGTTTCTCTTTATCTACATTTTTCCTCAGAGCGCTCTCTCTCTCTCTCTCTCTCTCTCTCTCTCTCTCTCTCTCTCTCTCTTTCTATGTTTTACTTTACTGCTTCCTCCAGTGTCTGGGACTGCCTGGCTTCTGGTCCTGGGCAAGTCCTTCTTTCTCCTTTTTTTCTTCTCTCCAGAGCCTAGAGTCCTCCTCCTACTTATTCACTCTGCCCATCAGCCCCACCTTTCTTTTCTCAGACTAGCTATTGGCTGGCTGTTCATCTCTCTATGAGACCAATCAGCTGCCTTAAGCAGGCAAGGCGAAACAAATACAATTCATTTTTACATAATTAAACAAATGCAGTGCAAACAAATGTGCACATCTTTACACAGTTAATCTTCCACAGCAGAAACAAATGTAACACATCTTTACACAGTTAAAGTAACCTTCCACAGCAGAAACAAATGTAGCACAGCTTGGCCTAGTTAAAGTAATATTCCACAACAACCTATAATTTCCACACACCCAGATTTGGAGTCAAAGGACTGACTCCAACAGCACCTCCCCAAAAGTCCCAGCCTGCCTCCATCACAGAGTACTCCTTTCCTTCAAACTGCAATAGTGCACACTTGCATGGGCACGAAGGTTCAACCAGAGGCTTATTTATGCTTATGTCCTCTCTCCACTAGAGACCATGCATCTTCACAGGTCTGTATCTTTTTGGAAAGAATTTCCGTTTCCTATTCAATCTCTTTCTATGATATGATCATTTTAAAAGACTCCTTCCTTCCTCCTTGCAACTCCTCCCATATCTGAACGATTTCACATTTTTACAACGTATTATCCTGTCCACCATCACATTCCTCTAACCGTTCATCCAATCCTCACAATCATCTAAAACGAGGTGTATAATTTTCATGGCACTGATGCTGTGCTCATTTGATCAAGCTAGGAAAAGAACAGGGCTAGGATTTGAGCATGGAATTCCTGCTTCCGGGTCAGCTGGGGCAGAGAAGTAACTTTTAAAACCCCCATGTTCTGGTGACGCACGCCTATAATCCCAACACTCCGCAGGCAGAGGCAGGTAGATTTTTGAGTTTGAGACTTCCTGGTCTACAGAGAAAGTTCCAGGACAACCAGAACTACACAGAGAAATCCTGTCTCAAAAAACCAATATAACAACGATGATGACGATGATGTGGTGATGGAGGCGATAAAGTCCGGTGTTGTACTGGGGAATTGGAGATGAGAGGAAGTGATACTTTAAAGGACATGGTGATAGCGTAATAGATGCTGGGAAGGGGAAACTGAGGCCAAAATGTAAATGACTTTCCCCAAATGAAACACCACACTGCGAGCAGTATTTGCAGCTTTAGGCCAGTCCCAGACTCTATTCGCTGGGAATGCTGCTTTGGTTGGCTCTGTATTCTTCTCCAGGTTCCTGATTTTCCTATGCCACTCCACCCCACTTCCCCACGTCAAGCCGGGAGCCCTTTCTCTAAACGCAGACACTTGGCAAGAGAACCTAGTGGCGCCTCGTTAAAAGGGAGGGGGCGTGACCATGAGCGGGGCGGGGCGCAAGCTTGCGGTCGCGGGCGGATGACGTGACCCGGCGCGCCGGCTTTTGACAGCGCTTGTAGCGGCATGTTGGTAAGCGGGCGGCTGACAGGGGCGCGAGCCCGAGCGCCTCTGCACGCGAGTCTCCTCGAGACGTGGCGCCGCCGCGGGCGGACCGCGTCCTCCTACTCCGCCTCCTCTGAGCCGTCCAAGGTGCGGGCGCTGATCTATGGCAACCACGGGGATCCGGCCAAGGTCATCCAGTAAGAGTCGGCGCCGACGCCGGGCAGGGAGCTGGGGGTCCCTGGAGGGTTTTAAGGCGGGCGGCGGACCGCGAGGAGAGGACAGGGTCCGAGGAAGCGGACGCCGCCGTCAGACAGACGCTGAAGCCCAAGGCGCGCTCGCTAACTCGACTCCGGTGCTTCCTGGCGGCGGAAGACCCGCGAAGCACAGGTGCAAGCAAGATCGAAGGGCGACGCTCGTTGATCGATATTGATCGAGGATTGTGGCAGGCACTCCTTTGTCTAGGGGGATGCTTTCGATGGCTTGTCAAGGCAACGCTCGTCGGGGGGGGGTGGTTATTGGATGTGTTCCCATTGTGCAGATGAGAAAACCGAGGCATACGAAAGTTAAAGCCACTTGCCCAAAGTCACCCAGCCAGTGAGAATCAGAATTTGAACATATGGTCTACCTAAGTTCTACTCCTTTGTTGATTTATAGTTCAGAGGAAGAGATCAGAGTACTTTTACATCTATTTGGATCGCCAGTTTTGAGTTAAATAGGCAATAGGTTATTGTTTCGGTTTCACAGAGCTGGCAGAACTTGTCCGAAGTGATACAGTTACTTAGTGATTGGAATAGGGACTGGAATTCACCTCTGGCCCCTTATGTGAGTTTCCTTCTACCACACCACATATGTATCTTGACCTAGTTACAAGTTGTTTAAACCTTGTTGTTTAAAGTCTTGTTGGTGCACACCTTTAATCCCAGCACTCCGGAGGTAAAGGCAGGCAGGCAGATCTCTGTGAATTCAAGGCCAGCTTCTTCTATGTAGTGAGTTCCAGGATAGCCAGGACTATAGAGACCTTGTCTGAAAACAAACTAACAAACAAACAAAAACGAGTTGTTTCATAATCCCAGCATGCTGAGGGCAGAGGGTTGTGAGTTTGAGACCAGCATAGGCTCCTTAATGAGCCTTTGTCTCAAAACACACACAGAGCAAAATACATAAAAAAAAAAAAACTTTAAAGACCCAAAATACAATTCAGGGGCTGTACATGATGGTGCATGCCTGTAGCCCCAGCACTGACTGAGGCAGGAAGACTGTGAATTTGAGGCCAGTATGGACTCTGTGAATTTGAGGCCAGTATGGACTACATATTGAAACCCTGCCTCAAAAACAAAGGACAAAAATTTGGTGTTTGCCAACATGCATCTTCTTAATGCTATTTTCTCTTTCCTTCTTTAGGTCTCCCTGTCTAGTCCTGGCTAGCCTGGAACTGGCCAAGTAGACTTGGCTGACCTGGAATTTATAGTGATTCTCTTACCTCTGCCCACTGCCACCCAAATGCTGGAGTTAAAAGTGTACAACTCCAAGAACCATTAAGGAAAAAAAAAAAGTCTGGCCTCTAACTGCCAGTGCCAGGATTACAGATGTGTTTGTTCTCCACGGCTCCTGCTCCTCAGACAAGGTGTCCCTGTGTTGCCCAGGTTGGCCTGGAACTTGTTCTCTTGCCTCAGCTCCTCAAGGAGTTTAAATTACTGGTGGATCGTTCTTTGAAATTGCTCTAAAGGTGGGTGTGGCCAGTACACGACCTTGAGTTTCTCTGCAGCTCCTCTCTGCCTGTCAAAGCACCTGGCCTGTACTTACACTATCACAGTTGTATGTTTGCCGTGAACCAAGGAGTTAGGAAGGCACCGCAGGGGAGTCTCATTCTTAGCTGATTAGTCCTGTGTGCTGTGTTTGTGAAGTGGCCCAGAGAACTAAGTGAACTAACTAAACATACAGCTAAGCCAAGTGAGGGCAAAGAGCTGCCTCCAAGAACCCTAATTTCCAGATTAGGGCTTTCACTTTCGCCCTGCTCCGGGCAGCCTTCACAGCTCTTTAGACTGAAAAGTTACATGTAGATTTATTTGTTGGTAATCCATATGTAAAAAGTATTAATTAGGATCCAACAGAATTTTCAGAGAGGGTAATATAGACACAGAAGGCTGAGGGGTAGATTGACTAGTCTAAGATCAAAGTTCAGCAGTGTGCGTGCCTGCACGCACGTGCGTAGATCAGAGGACAGCTCTCAAGAGTCCTCTTCTTCCATCTTTTGGGATCTGGTGATTGAACTCCGGTCATCATCGTATTTGCAGCTTGCTCCTCTGCCAGCTGAACCATCACACCAGCCCCCAAGTTGTATTTTGCTGAGAGGCAATGGCTCATGTCAGGGAAGACATTTCCCTGAAGACTTTGCTGCAGTGAGTTGATAAAGCCTTTGTGAGCAGGCCTCCGTTTCAGAAACGGCCCCAAAAGGAGAGCGGTGTGGTGCTGCTCCCAAAGGCTTGTCATTTGTGTCTGTCTCATAGGCCTGCGTGAAACAGCTGCTCCTGTCGCGTTAGCTGAACCCCAAGCTCATTTCATTAAGAAGCGCACCTTTTATTGAGTTCTCCCAATGCGATGAGAAAGGCTCGAGTGGCTGAACAGCTGTGTGCCGTGGCCTCCTGATTGGTTTCCTGTTAGAGAGTCAGGGAAGCTGGAACAGCCCTGTCTGTCGGCAGATAGAAAAAAAAAAGACAGCTGCTTCTGTCTTCTGTGTAGACCCTTAGTCGTGTCCCCAAGCTCAGAACATGACACTTGTACCAGGCGTTCTCTCCAACCTGGGGTTCACAGCTCAGTCACCTGTGCTACGCTTGGAAGCGATTTCCAGGCTCCACCTCTGAAGTGCATAGGGGGTCTGGGGTGTCTGTTGTTTAATCTCGCAGGCCTCCAGGTGACTAATGTCCAGCCAGTGTTGAGAAGCAATGCCTGTGGATAGACGGCCAGGCGGTAGGGATTGTCCCTGATCTGGAATGGCCTTCCCTTCTGACCCAGATTCAGGCAACTTAACTTTGTTTGTGTGTGGGCTAAGGCCCGTGACCAAAATTCCCTTTGTAGTCCTGTATGCAGTTTACAGTAACCAAAGCCTCAGAAGAATTGTGTTCTCACATCCCGGTGGCCGGGCATCTCTGGATCTGGTGACGAGTAGGGTCATGAGACTACCCAAAATCCAAACAACAGTTCCCAGACAGGTGTGTTTTGTTCCATGGGCCAGTCTCGGAGCTGGGGAGACACTTGGAAAAGGTATGAAGTCAGAATGCAGGATTTTATAGTAGTTTGCAAATTTTAGAGGTGGTCAGAGCCACACAGTCAGGTGTGCAGAGTTCTAGGTTCTATACCACAGAGGTTCTGGAAGCCATGATGTCCTTTACTCCCCCACATCCTTCTCCTCTCCCTACTCTAGGGAGCATCCCCTCAGATCTTGCTTTTCTCTTAAGTGCTGATGTGGAAGTAACTCATTTCTTATATACCCATGAAGTAGCAAGTGTTAAGCTAAGTTCTCTGTGTAGACTGTGGTATTCAAATGGGACCGAGGTGACTGTAGCTCAGTGTAGTGTCCTTACCTAGCATGCACAAGGCCCTGAGTTCAGTCCTAAGCATCACAAATCAGCATCATCCAGTTTTGTTCAGTCTTCCCTGTTTAACAGAGAAGGAAATTGAATCTCAAGATTGAAAGGCTCTTGCCCAAAGGACAACTAGAATGTTCCTGCTTAAAAGTTCTTTATGGGGATGGAAGCCCCCAGTGGAGACAAAGACTGAAAGAAGCAGTTACAGTCATCTGAAAGGATTTTCCAGGAAGGGATGGAATGTAAAATTAGAATCATGATTGTTTAGAGGAGAAAGTGAAATTATAGGTCATTCAGTAGCCCCGGATTTTCTGTTCTGCCCTGGGATGAGGGAGGTACCAGTTTCTGCCCTCTTCTTTCCTGTGCCTGCATCCAGCTTGTGTGGCCACCCACAACTGTAATCTCAGCACTCAAAGCTGGTAGCAGGAACATCAGGAATTTGAAGCAAGTCTTGGCTACATAGTGAGTTTGAAACTAGCCTGGGCAAGATGAGGTGCAGTCTCCAAACACCAAAAGAAACACCTAGCACCCAAAGTGGTTTCTCACCTGCCAACTGCAGGATAAACCCACACAGGGAAACCTTTGCTTTCTATACTCTTTCTGATTTAAACCAGATGGAATTTAGGGGGCCCGGGTTAGGTTGGTAAGGCATTCTCATTATAGGGCGCTCTTTATTCCGAGTCTTTCTACACTTGATGTCGGTGTTTAAACTACAACTCTGTGGGTAACTTGGTTTTTGAACTGGAATTTAGTATTTTCTAAATTGATGTTTGGTGCTCTGTTGAGAACTTTTTCATAGTCAAAGATGAAGGCAGTGGACATGGTGTTCATTGGTACAGGAAACTAGCCAGCACTGGTTCTCTGAGGGGCAGGTAGACTCTGGGCCTTGAAGATTCAGAGATAAGTGATTTATATCTTTGTCCCCAGAAAACCCCAGTCTAATCCAGCAGTTGGGCCACCATAGCCCAGTGGGGTAGATGCTATGATATATTCAGAATGTAGTAAGTACCCAGAAGAGGGATGCCTAGTTCCTTCTCTTGCCCAAGAAGTCAAAGCCATATGAGAGGACTGTCTTGAACAAAAGAGACTTCAGGTGCAGAATGCCTCAATACCTACTGATGCCTGGGAGAGATCTGTATGTAACTGACCCCGAGGAGATAACGCTGAGGTCATAGGATTCACACTCACTATACTATGGAGTTCATGCCATGTCCCACTGTCCCAGTTTCATCCTGTTGCCTGTTGTACATGGAATCCCACAGTAGGTTAGATGTTATCCCTCCATCCTGAGCGTCTGAGAGATGCTGTCACTCAACACAGCTCCAGGTCACATTCCTATCTGTCCTATTAAATGCTTCCTGGCCTTTCCCACTCAGGGTGAGTTCAGACAGGCTCTTGTTTTAGAAGCAGATGAACAGATGACAGAATCATACTAGCTTGAGATGTTTTGTTGGGACTACAGGCAACAGCAATACAAGAGCAGTGGTCCACATTCCAGTCCTTTCTCTGAAGAAATCACTCGGCCAAGACCAGCAGTGGTGATATGCTTACTCTCCCTGCAGCTTCTATGCCAGTAACAGACGTTCACAGCTCTCCCTTCTGTGTACCTAACA